ACAGATCCCAGGAACAACATCTGAGATCTCTGTCCAGAAGAGTGCAGTCCTAGGAACAGCTAAGATACTGCACAGGACCTTCAAGCTCCCAGGCCACTGGTAGAGGACCCGAGCTTGAAGGAAGGAATAAGACCACTCCAACGTGGGGGGCAAGTGGGGGATTTTATTATATATGTATGTACAGGTCTGTATTTATAAATACTTTTATTTTCTGCACTTTCTTTTGCTTGCACATTACGTCCGTACTTTCTGTTATCTCAGCCTTATATTGTTTACTTGCCCTTTGCTATTGCCATACATAAAGATACTGTATGTACATATATATTGAGAGCCGCAGTACCAGAGTCAAATTTCTCATGTGTCCAGCACACTTGGCCAGTAAAGCTGATTCTGATTCTGATTTAAAAAATGAATGGTTCATACTACTACTACTAATTATTATTAATAACTCTGTCATGGCCAATGACTGAGGTGACAAATTAATTCACAGGCAAGTCACTACAATTTCCAATGATCATTTATTGATATAATAATTGATAATATTAAGGACAAGCTACAGAATTACCTTATCAATTCTCTGCAGAGAATTTTTGGTCAAGCGTGAACACAATGCGTGTCTCTCTTCTTGTCTCTCTTCCTCTCTCTGCCCTCTCTCTCGTCTTCCTTCTCTCTTCACCTAGCTTTTTATGTCCCTGACAATGTTACAATTTTTCTCTTGCTCTTACGTCAATTCTCAAACTTAACTTTTACACCTCCCTTTTACAGAAAGCTGCTCTCTAGATGTTTATAAGTTATCTCCAGACCAAGGTGACACTGTGAGCTAAACATAGAGGACATGAGCCCACAATGTTCTGCTTTAGCCAAGTGCAAGGCACATTATCTTTGTCAGTATTCTTGACTTAGATAAAGATCAGATCACATTTTATGACAAATTAATGCAGAAAACCATGAAATTCCAAAAGGTTCACATACTTTTTTTTGCCACTGTATGTGGCAGTCATCCGTGGACATTAACTTTTGTTAAAGCTACTTAATACACTAGATGCTATTATTTATTATTCTAAATGCTATTATTTTAAGTTGCTTCCAAAGAAAATATCTTGATATTTCTGGGGTGTCATGAATTAAGAATGTTTATATCATACCGAATCAACCCTCTGTTGCTCTCCCTCTCTGTTTCAGAGTGAGGATGGGCATATATGTTACTGCTGCTCCCTTTCTCCCAGCTCCAAATGTACAGAGGAAAAGCTGCTGGAGCTCCACCCTGCCCACAACTGCAGCACCATGAGGATCCTGCTCAAGGTATGCCTCTATACAGTACTGCTGAGGATCCACTGTGAGCTCACCAGTGAATATATCCTGTTCAGGAATGCAGCGTTTCCCTAACTGGAAATCCACACTGAAAGCAAGATGTAAGCCCGACTGAAGCGTGATTCTATTCAGTTCACACTGCAGCCATATGTGAGCGGCACATTATGTGTCTTTAAAGTCACCAGAACAGCTGTTTGTCTGTCAGGACAGCGGCCAGAGAAAGTGTCTTTACCAGACTGACCAACAACATGTGTACTGGACAAAAATTGTTTTTTGCATGTTTCTCAGGAAGAAATCTCATTTTATGTATTCTATGGATTTTATAGATTTTCCCCATCTCCTTACAGAGGGTGAAAGTGAAACAAAGCAGCCCATCATTCCTTACAGATACCAGTAGAATCAGAAACGAAATATATGTGATTTTAAACCGCTGTGATTTTAAACCTGCTTCACTAAACACGGCACAAAACAGGCCCAAATCATAAAAAATTGTCAGGGTTCCAGGGAAGACACGCATCTCAGATTCAGTGTGGACTAACACATTTGACAGATTGGAATTCGATCTGTAGCAGGAGATGTGCCTAGAAAATGCTTTCAGTGTGGATTAGAGGTCACAGTTTTAAAAATTGTAAGGGAAATGAGTGCGATTCTTGTGAATGCAATGTGTCAGGAATGTGTCTTCAAATCTGGCACAAATGTCCACTTGGACTCAAGGATGATCTGATTAGAATTTGGTGGTCAAGGTGACCTCACTTCTGTCCCACACCTGTGAATTGGTGGAGGCGATTGGTGTTCATCCAGAATAAACACATTTGAATAAATGAAGTCTTTTGAAACAACTTTTATAGTTAGCCACAGTGGGACTGTATCGTCTGTTCTGCACTGTCATAATGTTAATGTTATTTGACTTTTCTGTTCTCCTCCTGTCTGCTACTGCTCTGACAGAGCATCAATCCGTACTGAAACTGGCACAGTGTTAATTACATTAGTTGTGGTATAACAACCTAATGTTGTGTGAATATAGTTTAGGAGCTGTACTTTCAAGCCAGCTTATACTAGCTGAAAATCTGAATGGTTAATGTTGGGTAAAAATAACATTAGATCCACTTAATGACTCCTAAACTGTGCTCTTTCATTTGACAGTTTACTATTTTTGATCAAATAAAGATGTCATATCTTTCCACTGAACTCTGACTGGCTTTGTGTCCTGCTCCTGTAGTGTTTACACTCTGTCTCTTAGCTTCAGCATGACGTGTGTTTCATATAAGGGTTACATGTAGGGGTGTGTTTTATGTCCCGCATAGCCCAAGTGAGTGGTGGATTGATAGTTGCTGTGTTAACAGGATATACTGGTCCTGAAGTGGGACTGCAATACTCCCAAAACCAGTATTTCAAGACTTTGCTGAAGTAACTGAGAGAGGAAGCCCACCTTTAGCACAGTAACAGTTGTAAAATTTGCCTTAACGCTGTTTCAGAATTAATAATCTTGTCTGCCACCGCACTCAATTGATCCAACAGTCGCTGACTGTTTGCAGTTTACAAGTGCAAGTTGTGTCATTAAACTTCACTGTGACATATTAATAAACCATGTGAAATGTAAGCAATGCACTATTATATGCATTCCATAAAAACAGAGCCCTTGGTCTTTTTATGGACAAAAGATAAATTACTTCTGTCTGTTCTATTGTAACTGTTCTATTGTAACTGATGGGAGTATGTCTTTTTCTCTCACAGAAGGTGTTGTTTGCACTGTGTGCTCTCAATGCTCTGACCACAGCTGTGTGCCTCATGGCAGCTGCTCTGCGATACCTGCAGATCTTCACATCAAGAACACCCTGCATGGTATGAACACACATAGTCAGGTGTGCTGCAGTCAGGCATTACCTACAATAGATTGGTGTTGTGCCCTATATCCACATCAGTAAAAAAGATGCACTACCAGTCAAAAGTCTGGACACACTTTTCCAATGAACTGAATGGGAAAGGATCATCACCTTTATTGGCCAAGTATGTTACACACAAAGAATTTGTTTCCGGTACAGAACCGATGGCAGCCATCTGCGGCACCAGCTCAAATGATGGCTCTAACCATCTTACCCAAGGACACTTCGATACACGGACTGCCGGCACCGAGGTTTGAACCTTCAATCTTCTGGTTGGGAGACAACTGTGCTACCCACCGCACCATGAAAGAGTGCACTAACATTTGACTGGTAGTGTATATGTTGAGGAAATCTACATACATATCCTGAGTAACTGATTGTAATCAGCAGTAAGCCTGAATGTCACAGACTCAAGCATTTATTGGTGGCCTCAATAAACACAAACAAGAGCTGGAGTCAGGCTGTGGTTAGACTAGCTTAGCATAAAGAACATTTAAAACATTTAAAGTTGGGCTGAAGCAAAATCACTGATTTGTTTCAAAACACACTATCAATGTTAGAAAATAACTGCTGAAAATGTGACACTGAACTATGTAGTGCTGAATTGTGGTGTTAGAACGTTTCATAATTCTTTAGTTCAGGATTTACTGGGTGGGGCAGAAAGCATGGCTTGATGACACACTGGAGCCATGCTTAACATAATAACCCCCCCCAGCAGAGGGGAGAGCACACATCCCTGGGGGGCGCCTTTGCTTATTGTCCCGGTGCTGGATGTGGTTTTCCCCAGCCTCACCTGCTGCTTCCTGTCTGTCAGAAAGGTAGTAATCCACTGTCAGGTGGGGGCAGGCACAGTGAGCTGGGTCAGTTTGGAGTAGAGGATGTCCAGGATGATGGTGTTGAACGCTGAGCTGAAGTCCACAAAGAGGGCCCGTGCATAGGTCCCTGGGGAGTCGAGGTGTTGCAGGATGTAATGCAGTGCCTGTGGTGTGACAAGCTCAAAACACGTTTTTAATTCTGTTTTGTCCATATGAGCTAAAGCTAAAAAAAAAAACTTAAAATTGATTTTTAAGCCATGTAGCTAGTTTTGTGTGTAATTGGTGCATTTTATTAGTGTTTCTTTTGTACTACTACACAATCAGTCCCTCTATGACAGCATTATGCACATCCTGCCCTGAGGTGTCCATTCACCATGTGACCATCCATCCATCCATCCATTATCCATACCGCTTATCCTAATGACAGATGCGGAGGGGCTGATATTGGGCAAGAGATGAGGTCCATCCTGGGCAGGCTGCCAGTCTACCACAGGGCTGATACTTATAGATGAACAACCACACACACTCACACTCACTCACTATGGGAAATTTAGTCGCCAGTCAGCCTAAGCTGCATGTCTTTGGACTGTGGGAGGAAGCCAGAGTACCTGGAGAGAACCCATGCAGACACACAGAGAACATGCAATCTCCACACAGAAAGGCCTCGGGTTGGCCAGGGCTCAATCCTGGAACCTTCTTGTTGTGAGGCAACAACGTTAATCACTGTTCCACCATGCTGCCTGCCATATGACCTGTATGCCTAAAGAAGTGCATCTGATGTTATAGCATTTAACATGATGTGTGATGTCACGTGTGCCTGCTCTGTTAGGATGAGCCCAGGGCCACAGCAGAAGAAAGGGAGGAGCCTGCTCAGGTCCCAGATCCAGATGAGTTTGTGGCCCCAGCCCCACCTCCCTCCTACTTCTCCACTTTCTGCTCATACACACCACGCTTGGCTCGCCGGTAACTGTCCAGACACGCATACACAGTGTCGGTAATGTAATGCCAGTTGTCTTACAGTATTTTTTGCCCATCATTTGATACACCATTACAGTCTTGGGGCCTCATTTTTGACTGTTGCATACACACAAAACAGGACTGCTATCCTTCTGACAAAACAGAATTTTTTGAGGGATTACTAAGTACTTTTGTCCATGCAACAATTACTGTTCAACATTTCATTTTTTAATACAACTTTATATGAATATTCATAATTGTTGGAGTGTTGTAGGTGTATTTTGAGAGCCATTCATGTGTACACAATATAAGATGACTGTGATTTAAAAAGAGAAAATTGTGTGAGAATTGTGTGTGCACAGTTTTTACAAAAACATCTCATATTTTGGTGTACACCACTGTTGTCTTTTATACAAACATGTGGTATGAACTGTATGCACAGCTTTAAAAATGAGGGCCCTGACTGGCTAATCCTAACAGACTGCTTCTACAGTTGTACTCTACTCTCAAGGCCAATTCATGCATTCTATGCCGCATGTCTGCTAAGGTTGAGTGATGTATTTTCATCATCTTACCAGGTCTGCGAGGGTCCGCACAAATCTGGTAAGATGACAAACATACGTGTGCAGGCCAACAAAGCCCCAAGTGCACGTATACCAGAAAACCAAAATGGACGCCTGTTTTGAATAATGGTTTATGTGAGGAGATCCGCTGCTACCCCCATCTTTGTAATCCCTCATTAAAAGAGTATGAAGATACTAAAATGGCACAGAACTCCTGGAAGGAGATCGCCTAAAACATGTGGTACATACATAGATGGGTGCATGCTGTTTTCTTTTAATGCACATGCATGGAAAGAATGTCAAAATGCCCATGCTTGGAGAGCATCAGTCTACACAGACAGAATTCAGACCCTGTTTTGGAAGTATGAATTGGAGCGTGTGCGAACCCCTCATCAGTGTCAGCGTATGCATGAGGGTGTGCAGAAACCATAAATTCCCCGTCAATGTCCTGTGCAACACTATAATTGCATTTTTTCTTGATTCCTGTTTTGATGTGATTGATTAGCTTGGTAGACTGATTAGTTTGCTGTTTGTTTTTTCAGGATGCTTGGGGACAGTGTGATCCCTCTACCTCATATCTATGGGGCTCGGATCAAAGGGGTTGAGGTCTTCTGTCCGTTAGAACCACCACCTCCATATGAGGCTGTTGCTGGAAGCTCTAACAATGCAGTCATAGAGGTAAAATAGCATCTTTTACACTTTTGCTTGACTGACATTTGGTTTTTAACTGATACTGATACTGATACCATGTTTGAAAGTGTAAATTATCTGATAACAATAATAATGGTTTTTACGAACATGTTGCAACCATGACATGGATCTCTTACAATTTTTTAAAGAATTGTGACCAAGATAGATACTGAGATTGACAGTTTACAGTTGAAAAAATCAATAATGTAAGGGAGACGACCTCAAGCCTGTCCAGCAGTTTGTTATTACCTGTCAGCTGTCACATGTGTGGATAACAATAAACCTGTGATTAAGATGCTATATCAGCAGATTGAAAAAGGACCAGTGGTTCAGTATTTTTAATCCTTTAACTATGTATTTTATTGACAGCTTTCCACAAATATCATCTTGCAAAGATCTGAAGCTCGTTTTGAACAGTAATATATCATTGTCATGATCACTTTTTGTCAAAGCTAAAAAATTTCTTATAGGAGGTTTTCCCACCTGGGATTTTTAACCCTATACATCAACAACTACAAATTATGCTTCTGTACTACTGCACAGTATATTTTTCTGCCTCTTAAATTCTCTCATTAGTATCCAGCGTTTCTTCTATAAGAGCACTAGTAATAATCTCATGACCCCGCCATGCCACACAACAAGCCTCTGTCAGGTGCCTCTCTCTATATCTCCTCCCTGTTTCAATCTGATTCACCTCTGACAGCTCTGGTAAGAACAACAAACAAACCCAGGAATATATGAAAAACACGAACGTGTGTAACCTCAGAATACCACTTTTAATGGATTTCATATGTAGACAGAGGTTTACAGAAACAAGGTGTTATCTTCACAAATTCTTCACCCAGGCTTCTCTAAGTTACAGTAAGTTTGTGTCTTAATATTTTCTTGTGGAGCCGCAATGTCAATGTACTTGTCTGCACTTTCAGTATGTTACACCAACATCACACTGTGTCAGTAATCAGTGTTGTTATAATAGTTTAACATAACAGCTGATCGCTCAATAATCATCACAGAGAGATGATTTTCCATAAAGCAACTATTCATGCATCCATTCATTATCTGTACCGCTTATTCCTGAATAGTGTCACGGAACAACTAATGTTAGTAAAACAACATTATTGTTGACAATGCTCATGTGACCATACTGCAGTCAAGTGAGTGGTCAATTGCAAAAACCTGGTCATGTGAAGTGCTGTTCGAATTTTGTTGCGCTTCTCCTTATGCAATTACAGTACAGGTGCTCGGAGTGGTCGAAATGGATGTTTAAAGAATCTGACTATTTAGGCAAATGAATGCCAATTCATTCTAAAATGTAAGATATCAAACACATTGTTATTTTCCATGCTGTTGTGTGTATATTTAGGCTTCTTGAAAACACCAATGGACTTGTAATACACCAGGTGAATTTTACTGATAATATACTTCACTGACTACAGCAGTATGAAAACTGAAGACATTCTGCTGTACATGTTTCCTTGAGAGGTTTGCCCAAACTCTCAGTGGATTCCTGTTCAGTGACTTTGACTATGATCATGCAAATGATGAAATAATATTAGTGTCAAGTTATTGAAATAATTTAAAGGAGAGTCCCCACTATTTATAGTGTAACTGACAATGTCCTTATAGTTGTAATTCCATAAAATCCCTGTATGGATTTCTTTGGGTTTAATTAGGGCTGGATAATAAATTGATGTATATCTCTGTGCAATCTCAGTGACAATGATTCTGCTGTGTTTGCATTAGCAGTGAGATCCCTTGCATCAAACCAAGCGCTCCCATTTCCTGGCTAACCTGCGTTAACTAATAACTGCAAAGTGATTTAATTCTGCCTCAACTGCTATTCAGCGCTAGGTTTACAGGTCAGGCAGCGCAACATTTGAAAAATAGTTGCACGAGGGCACAGAATATTTTTCACAATGTCAAACATGTTGGATTTGGTTTTGAATCAGTCTTCTCTTCATGTCTACAGCTGGTCATGTGATGGAATGCTTCTATTGGTTAACACAGCTCGCTTGGTTTGAAGCCAGGTATCTTCCTTCTAATGCAAAAATGGCAGAATCATTGTCACATGAGACTGACATCGCACTGGGATCTAAATAACACTAACAAAATGATTTAATGTGCAGCCCTAGGCTTTATGTACCCCCTTTTGCCTGTTTCAGAATAAGAAAACTTTATTTATCCCAATGGGCAATTCAATTTGACAGCCTTCCCAACAGAACACAGCAGGACATGCTCAGACCATTCCACATAAAACAGATCACAGTATACAGTATTACAGTATATCACACCATATATACCAGTGAAGCAAATCAGCATATACATCTTAGTAGGAAAAATATATAAAAACAGTACTGACATCTATAACAACATCAGTAACCATGTCAATAAAGACTGCTCCTTAATCCATTATCCTTAAAGGTGTATAACAATAATAAAAGAATAATTGAATAAGAGAATTTGAATAGCGATTTGTTTTCCTTGGGGGTGCCTGATAGTGTCTACCCAAAGGCATTAAAACAGATTCTGGATAAAGAACATGGTCAGTTTGACTGATGATTCATTTTGCTTTATGAACCACCTGCTCTTTCCGATGTGGATACAAGTCCACTGTTTGTTGTTCCAGTTTAAGTTTTCAGCATGTGTAAAAACTAGAACTGTTGGACTCTTCTTTCATGTTTGCTAATTAAATTGTTTGCATAATGTGTTAATAGACATTTCATACTTAACACATTTCTCCTACAGTGACAAATTCCTAATATTATATTTTGTGTTTTCTTACTTTTCCATAACTGTGGTTGAACATTAAAAAGCAGGTCAGTGTACCAGATTCCAAGCACCCATTTAATGCAACTGTTTTAAAGAGCCCATGGCATGCTTTTCCTTGTTTTCTGACTTATCTACAACGTTACAATGGTGAATTATCATCTTAAACATGACCTAAAGCTAAAAAAAAAAGAGGTGTACATATGCTCTAGTATTTCTATGCAGAAGCAACTCTGTTTATACAGGTCTCGCAAACTCTTGCTCATGAGACCTTTTTTTCCAACAATGCAAAGTCTTCTGTGATAGTTTAAGGATTTCCTTGAATGGTCATGATCTCCATGCAGTTGTGCGTTCATGCGAGCTTGCCTGACATCCACTGGTGCCATTGTAAAAGCTGAATATTTTGACTGCACATGGTTTTGTGGATATATTTTACCTCCTGCTGCACTGTGTCCAGAGGATGTAGAGAAAAATAAAGGTCAAAGTGTTTATTGTCATGTGCACAGTAAGGAAATGTGTTACCCTGTACAATGAAATTCTTACTTTGCTGTCCACAATGAATCCCAAAACACAAAGTGGAATATAAAGTAGATAAATAAACAGCACATGAAAGAAATATAATAAGAATATAATAAAGAGAATGTATGCTACTTTGACGCTGTATGTGCAATAGTCTACAGTTAATGTACATTTGTGCATGTGCAATTATGCATGTGCAAACTGTGGATGTAACAGTCAGGTGGGATTACATGAAGTAATTCCTGATAATAAACTCTTATCTGCAGTTTAGGAGTCTGATGGCAGTTGGAAAGAAAGAGTTTTTCAGTCTAGAGGTCCTGTATTTCACACTCATAGGAGGTATAGACCTTCGGCCAGAGGGTAGTGGTGTGAACAGTCCATGCTGGGGGTGGGTGGGGTCCCTGAGGCAGCTCTCCTGCAGACTCTGCGGTGGTAGATGCTCTGCAGAGAGGGCAGTGGAGTCCCGGTGATCTTCTCTGCAGTCTTTACCACTCTTTGCAGGCGCTTGTGGTCCATAGCAGTAGTGCTGCCATACCAGACAGTGATGCAGCTGGTCAAGATGCTTTCAATGATGCAGCTGTAGAAGTTGCAAAGGATCCTAGGTGACATGCCAAACCTCCTCAGCCTCCTCAGGACGTTCAGCCACCGTTGGGCCTTCTTGACCAGCTGTGTGGTGTTAGGTGGCCAAGTGAGGTCCTCACTGATGTGGACGCCCAGGTATTTGAAGCTGCTCACCCTCTCCACTTCGAGCCCCTGGATGAACAGTGGCTGATGAGATCTCCTCTCTTTCCTTATGTCCACTATCATCTCCTTTGTCTTGTCCATGTTGAGGCTGAGATTATTGTCCTTGCACCATGACACCAGACCGGCCACCTCCGTCCTGTAAGCTGCTTCGTCCCCACCAGCGATGCATCCTATCACTGCGGTGTCATCTGCGAACTTTAGGATGATGTTGCCTTTGTGGGAGGCAACACAGTCATGGGTGAACAGGGTGTAGAAGATGGGACTGAGGACGCATCCCTGTGGGGTGCCAATGTTTGCAGTGATGCTGGCTGAGGTCTTGTTGCCAATCCTGACAGACTGGGGCCAGTCAGTCCCAAGTCCAGAAGCCAGTCACAGAGGGTTGGGTGCAGACCTACTGTGGACAGTTTGTGGGGGATGACCATGTTGAAAGTGGAGCTGTAGTCAATGAAGAGTATCCTGATGTAGGAGTCTCCATTTTCCAGATGAGGAAGGGAATAGTGGTGTAGTGGATAAAACAAATAAACAGAATATAGTTAACAGTTAATACATATAGTTAACATGTAATATGGAATAAAATACAACAGAGTGGATTACAGTGTGAGTTTAAAAAGTGCTTGTATAACTTCAGCATGCAATGACCTTTGTTCTGTAAAATGTGTGTGTTGGTGAACTCTGAGAGAATTGGTCAGTCTGTTATTGAGAATATCACAGGGTGTTCCCGTAAAAGAGAAGTAAGTTTGAGAATTGATGCAACTGGGACAAAAACAGGATGCAAGATATGGGAATAAAGTAGGAAAGGAGTTGGAGGAGTGTGTGAAGATCCGGAGAAAAGACATGTGAAGAGACTGACTGATTCTCTGCAGAGAGACTAAGACAAGAGAAACTAACAAGGTGATCCTGTATCCCACCTTTGAATCATATACCAATATTATTGTCCAATAAATGATTCTTGGCACTTCAGTGAGTTTCTCTGTGAATTGATTTGCATTTGGCACCCTCCTTTTAACAGCTTGATTGTTTATGAGGGGGAAAAGATGATATTGGATTGGCATTGGCAGATACTCAAGGTTGTGGTATCAGTATTGGACATAAAAAATTCGTATACAGACACACTTAGGAAAGTAGAGTTCACCAGTAGAGTTCAGAAACTAGGAGAGTCTTGGTATATAAATATGCCAAGGTGCACTGAAGCAGTTTTGGTGGCACTCTTTGTCTTGAATTTTTCTTTCATTTGTCACACATTTGTAGTTTCAAATCTCCAATGACTAAAACATCCAAGTAAATTTGGAAATTCAGCAGTTTGTCTTTTTTAATTAATTGAGTGTAATAAGAAAATGAAATTGGTCAATAAACCTATTTACAAACTCAACCTTCTTGACTAGTTGGTCTCTGTTTATTTCAGGAGACAGAGAGTGCTCTGACAGCGCTGACTGTGAATTCAACTACCACTCCACCAGGTGCCTCTGTTCAAGGTAGGACACATGTTCACACACCAGGCAAAAGGGATGACAGAAATGTTGCTTTTACCATCAGACTGATCAGGGAACATAAAGCTCAGACAACTGCTCTGTGACATGTCCGTGCAGATTCTCAGTCATCCAGGTCATAGTAATCTGAAAAAACTTAGAAAAAAAAAACAACTGGACTAGATTTCTAGGTCATTTCACCTCTCATCCAAGAGGCTTCATCAGTTCTGACTGACTGGTGTTGAGCCAGAGATATTTATCCCCCTCAGTGGTGTTTCAGTCCCTTGATGCCCAACAATGTCCCTTAATGACTGAGTCCTAATAGCCCAGTATCGGTGAGAGTTGTTACCTGTCTTTGAATCCTCCCCTGTCGACCGACGCCTATTGTCCTGGTGGAAGTTGAATGTAACTCAATGTGTTTACCTGTCACTAACACACATTCCCATGATACAGGTATTATGTCTAGTTGAACTACTGAGTCTCAGAGTGAAATACAAAAGGAAAAAGGCAGTGTCACAAAAATGAATTTTGCAATTCTTGTGTTGCATACAGTTTTCCCATAGAAAGAACTCAGCCCCTTCAATTGATTCTCAAACTGCTTTTTGGGGGATGGAGATAATTAAAAATTCATGTGCGAGGTTTATGTACTGGAATCTGCCTCTGCATTACTAAACCCCGTTACACTCCTGACTACACTTAATTGCTTTGAATCACCATTGTCATAGTGATACCATCACTATCACTAGATGTTTTATTACCACATTTGTTCACACCACATCACTCTGTGTCTGGGTGTTTTGTCCCTCAGGTGGACCAGTCTCTGCCGCAGGGTGTTCCCTGGTTTGATTTGATTTGATTTATTCTTTCAAACATGTAAAGACAGTCAATATGTCAACACACATAATTTCACACATATCCACAAATGCATTATCAATTTGCTTATACCTAGTACATGCTTGAACGGAGTAGGAAGAAGTTAGACTTATCTAGTCCTACCCCATAACATCATCTTACCAGCATTGGATTGCAAGCAGTATTACTACATGGATAATTTTGTTCTACACCACGCTAGTGATATACTAAAAAAT